GGTATTTTTGTTTTGTGAATGTGGATACAGATGTGTTTTGTCAGATGTAAGGTCCATCAACTGAAGAATTAGAAGATTATTCATGTTTTAACTCTTCTTTTCTCAACCTAATGATTATTTAACTAGTTTCGTTTATCTTAATAGATAATCTTTAGCCATACCAGACACATTAAGTGTGTAGCTGAGTGTGTAAATACATAGTTTGTAGAATTCTAATGGTGAAACAGTCTGGATAATGTTTTATGTAAGAAAAAGAGAAAATAATCCTGTTCCCTAGGGCTTTTTGAGAGACAGTTTTATTGAGATATAATTCACATGCCATATAATCCACCCATCTAAAGTGTCCAATTCAATGGTTTTTAGTATATTCAGATATGTGCCACCATCACAGTCAATTGTAGAATGTTTTCATCATCTCAAAAAGAAAACACGTACCCTTTCACTGTCACCCCACGTGCCCCCCACCCCAGTCCTAAGCAACCACTCATCTGCTGTCTATAGATATGCCTACTCTGAACATTTTGTATAAATGGGATCATGATAATGGAGTCTTGTGTGACTGGCTTGTTTCACTTAGCATGATGTTTCCAAGATTCATTCATGTCGTAGTACTTCATTCCTTTTTATAGTTGAATTGTATGGATCTGCTACCTTTTGTTTATCAGTTTATGGACATTTAGGGTGTTTCTAGATTTTGGCTATTAGGAATAATGTTGCTGTAAACATTCATGTACAAGTTTCTGTGTGGACCTATGTTTTCATTTCTCTTGGGTATAACCTAGGAGTGGAATGGTTGGGTCATATGGTGACTATGTTTAATCACTTGAGGAACTGCCGGCTGGTTTTCCAAAATGGCTGTACCATTTTACATTCCCACCATCCATATATGAGGGTTCTAGTTTTTCCATGCTGACACTTGTTATTGTCTGACATTTTGATTTTAGCCACCTTAGTAGGTGTGAAAGTGGTATCTCATTGTGGTTTTGATTTTCATTTCTCTCTTGACCAGTAATGTTGAATATTTTTCATGTGCTTTTGGCCATTTATATATTTTTCTTAGAGAAATGTCTACTTAGTGCTCAGTTAAATTTGAAAGGAGAGTGTTATTAATCATGTAACAGCTGGCACATGAGTGCTTTAAAAAAAACATGAGGATCATTAGGGACCTATATAGTTTCACTAATAAGTTGCTTAAAACTAAAATTTTCTGTTTATTCATTAGATTTCTGAGTCAGTGGAGTTTAACTGAAGCTAGTGTATTTTGAATCGAGCCAAAGTAGTTTGGAGAGTGTTTCATTAATTACCCACGTTTAAGGTGGAGCCATGTGGGCTGGGTGAACTGTGGTACCCCCACTAGGGTTGATGCATGTCTTCCCAGAGGTAGGTCTTTGGTATTCTTTAGCCTTGGCTTTGGTCTGATAAACATTTTTACAGTGTCCTGATTAGAGACTTGGGATGATCTAACTCTGAGTAAAAGGCAGCTCAGAAGTTGAGAGGAGTAGGATTCAAAATGGTTTTTAAAAAAAAATTTTTTTTAATGTTTTATTTATTTCTGAGAGAGAGAGAGAGAGAGAGAGCGTGAGCAGGGGAGGGTCAAAGAGAGAGGAAGATACAGAATCTGAAACAGGCTCCAGGCTCTGAGCTGGCTGTCAGCACAGAGCCCGACGTGGGGCTCAAACCCACGAACCATGAGATCATGACCTGAGCCGAAGTTGGATGCTTAACCAACTGAGCCACCCAGGCGCCCCCAAAATGGTTTTAGTGTGTTAAAATCAGATTACAGTCCTGCTTTAGTTTCAGGATGGAAAAAGGAGACCTTGCTTGGTAGAGATTCATGTACAAAAAGATCAAGGCCTTTTAGTGGACTCTCAGCTTGCTGTGTGTTAGCACTCTAGTGGCTGCTAATAAGTTAATATTGGTGGCACTGATAGAAATCCATTTTAGTCATTATGGAAGGTAGCATTTCTGGGCCGTTGAAGAGTTAGAAGAAACATTTTTTGATTCCAGTGTCTCTCACTGTTGGCTGTCTATTTTGGGGCATGGGCCTTTTTGTTTTAAATGTTTATTTTGAGAGAGAGAGCAAGCCTGTGTACATATGCTCATGAGCTGGGGAGGGACAAAGAGAGGGGGGAATGAGAGAGAATCCCAAGTAGGCTCCGCGCTGTCAGTGCAGAGCCCCACTTGAGGCTCGATCTCACGAACTGTGAGATCGTGATGTGAGCCAAAATCAAGAGTTGGCCACTTAACTGACTAAGCCATCCAGGCGCCCTTGTCTTAACCTAAGTCTCAATTTTCTCATCTCTAAACTGATAGGAATTATCTGGTTTTGTCTATTTCCTGGAGTTGTGAAGATTAGATAATAAAATAAGTATGGAAATACTGACAAAGTATAGGGCATTGTGTGCTGGTATCAGCTGTGGGTTTGATGTGGTATTAATTCTGGATACAATGTTTTAAGTTGGCCACTGATAAATTGGAGCATTTCCAAGGCAGCAGAACAAGGGTGGTAAGATAAACATTTGGAGATGTAAAGACTAAATTGAAGTGACTTGGAATGTTTAGCTTGAAGATAGGGTGGGCTTTCCTCTGTTGGAAGGACATGAGAGACATTACTGCTCCAGAATAGAAAAGTTTCAAGGAAGTAGTTTTGAGCTCCATGATGAGCTCTACTAGTTCAGAAATGCATTCAATGGAGAATTGATGGAAAGGATTTCTGTTTGGGGTGTGAAGCTGGCCTAGATCTCGTTCAATAGATAAGTATTTTATATGTTCTAGGCACTGGTCTGAAGGTTTTGTGTGCAGTAACTCTTGCTCCTCAGAACAACCTTGTGAGGTTGGAAATCATTATCTTTATTTCACAGTTGGAAAAACTGAAGCACAGAGAGGCTAAGTAACTTGCCTAAGGTTATAGGGATAATTGCAGAGTTAAAATTGAGACTAAGGCAGTTTGGGTCCCAAGAGGCCATGCTTTTAACTACTTCATTACCAGCCAACTCTAGAAGTCTGTAAGAGTAAAAAGCATTTTATTCTATTTATTTTTCATAATTTCTGATATGTATGTTTAATGTTAAGGATGGAGAAACAAATTGGAAAACCTTTTACTTAAAGTGAAAGTTATTGGTTTTAATGTCAAATACAAATGTATTAAATATTTCTTCACATTACTGGGAAGTTTTTTGAAGAAATATTTTGAAATATAGAAAACTTCTATTAATATCCCTCAGAGTTTACTTTGTAATGAATAAATGATACTTGAAGTGCAAAGCAGCTAGCTCTCAATGAAGCTTAATACATTTACCCTTTACTTTAAAGATGATTTCAAGCTTTTTAGATCAGCAAGCCATTCTGTTTGTGGACACTGCTGATCGCCTGGCCTCATTAGCTAGAGATGCCCTAGTCCATGCACGCCTGCCTAGTTTTGCCATCCCGTATGCCATTGATGTACTGACTACTGGATCTTACCCACGACTGCCCACCTGCATTAGGGTAAGTGTGTTGCTTACCACTCCTGTTCTTAAAAGTTAATGACTTTGGCATTGGAGTCTATTGTGTTATTATTCAGCACAATAAATTGTTCAGCAGAACAGTTGTTCTATATACGCATTTTTAAGTTTATTCATTTTTGAGAGAGAGAGTGGGAGAGAATAGGGGAGAGAGAGAAAGAGAGAATCCCAAGTAGGCTCCAAGCTGTCCATGTAGAGTTGGAGGTGGGGCTCACAAACCATGAGATCATGACCTGAGCTGAAATCAAGAGTTGGATGTTTAACTGACTGAGCCACTCAGGTACCCCTGTTCTATATTTTTAAAGTCAAGAGTTCCTGTAATTCACTTTTTTCTCTATAATTAGAATTGTGGTCTTTTGAAATACATTGAGACCAGAATGCGAATAGCTGTCAAAATAGGTGTGTGTGTGTGTGTGTGTGTGTGTGTGTGTGTGTATGTGTGTGTGTTACAGGGTGGGGGGAGTAAACAAGTGCAAGTTAACTTAGATCTATTTCAGATGTGGAAAGACCGGATGCTAGTTGTTCTTTGGAATTTTTTTTTTTTTAAGTAATGTGGTAATTATTTACTGACTTGGTTCTATTGTATTTTATACTTTTAAGAAGTGAAAGTCATCTAGTGACATGAACTTGGTTTCATAAATAGAGCATGAAGATCGTGTTGCATTACCATCTCAGCTGGGTGGCACTCTGATGCATGATAGTTAAGGGGCATGTCACTATTACTGGATGTAGATTGCAGAAATGAGTGTTGAGATCCTCTTGGGTGACGTCTGAAAATATTATGTTAAGACAGGTGCAGGTAAGAGTTGTGTCTCCTTGTACATTGTTATAAAATCACTGAATTTTTTTTTTGTAGGATAAAATTATTCCTCCAGACCCAATTACCAAGATTGAGAAACAAGCCACACTTCACCAGCTCAATCAGATTCTTAGACATCGGCTTGTGACCACAGATCTTCCTCCTCAGTTAGCCAATCTTACTGTTGGTATGTACTTGAAGTTTATCTTTTTTAAGAATTGACTTGTCAGAATTTTTTTCAAACAGCTTTTGGGGTTTCATTCAAAGAACTCATTTTGAGGGTTTGGTCTGCAATTCAGGTGGTATTCAAATCAGTGACTTGTCAACCAATCGTTTCTCTTTCGTACTGGAGGATAAAATCTTAGTACCTGGAGATAAAATGGTGGTATATGAAGCTAGGAGCAGGGAGATCACCTGGGACTGGAGGACAGATGAAGCCCCAGAGTTACACCTCAAGAGAAAATCATCAGTTGACGTTAGAAGCGTTCACTGCGTTTGGCTATTGCTTATGCAGGAAGGCACTGAGTTCTTTAGACACTTCTAAGAGAATTTTCAAGCAATTTAAAATTTCTTTTAAGCAAAACCGAACGTTCTAGGTTATCAGGAAGCTGGTTATTTTCTAGCAAAATAGATTTCTTCTTTTTCTTCTTCTTCTTCTTCTAAAAGCAAATGGCCGGGTGAAGTTTCGAGTTGAGGGAGAATTTGAAGCCACCTTGACCGTGATGGGAGATGATCCGGATGTACCATGGCGTCTTCTCAAGCTAGAAATTCTAGTTGAGGATAAGGAAACGGGAGGTAAATCATAAATACTGGTTTAAATCACAAGTATTCAAACATTTGGTGTTTTTATATTATTGAAACATTCTTGCAGAGTACTAAACATTTAGCAATTTATTCTGTAATTTGAAGCAGATGTTATGATAATCGTACCTACCTACTGATCCATGGAGATTTTAGTGTTTTCTCAAGTATAATGTTCTCTGATTTCCATGGATAACTTCAATTGTGTGGTTTTTTTTTTTTTTAATTTATTATTAGTGTACTCTTCCTTAGTTGGTACTGTGATACGATCAATACACTTTTCTGGTTTACCGCCTTTTTTTCTCCTGCCAATGGAAGATGGGCGAGCCTTGGTTCATAGTATGCAAATCAACTTTATCCATCAGCTGGTGCAGTCTAGACTCTTTGCTGATGAAAAACCTCTTCAGGACATGTACAACTGCCTACGTATCCTTTTGAAATTTGAGACCTCTGTTTATAAGGAATTTGTGTGTCCCTGTCCTCTCCATATTTCCATTTACCCTCCATCCTGAACTTTTCCTTTTTTGGAATAGAAATGGGGCTGAGGAACTGTTGAGTGTGTAGAATAGTGATACATCTATAATAGACTAAGTTTTAAATTTTACTGTTCACTTTGCAGGTAAAAACAAAAATGAGTAAGAAATAATGCTGTCTAGAGGGAAAAAAAATAGTGCCATTTCATCTATTCATATTCTCTAAACCATGATGAACTCGTGGGCAACCTGGGCCTTACAGTTTGTTTACGTTGATTGAAAATTTAACTATAAAGCCATTTTCTAAAATTGTGCCAAAAATCATCACACCTTTTAGTGTATGTCATTGAAGAAATCGAATTCCAGAAATTTCTTTCATAGCCAGCTTTTGGGGAATAGAGCTTTTATTAAATGAACTTTGCTTGTAGTTCACTGGCCCTTGTAATGATATTAAGTTTGCTTAACAAGCTCCATCAGATTCTTTCTGCTTGTCGCTTCAGTTAGAAGTGCTACATTCCCAAACTCTAATGTTAATCCGAGAGCGGTGGGGAGACCTTGTGCAGGTGGAACGGTACCATGCCGGCAAGTGCCTCTCCCTCTCAGTTTGGAAGTAAGTGAAATTGATTCTAGCAAGTTCATGCTGTGATGTAAATACCCTTTATGTTTCTCTTTTTCCCTCCTACATCTGATTTACTATATACCAATAGCCGTGTACCTCTAGCAACATGGGTTTATATGGTAAGGTCTCGTGGTATCATATAAACCACATAGGGCATCTGTAATTGACCCCTTTCTTAGAACATGGTATGTTTTAAATACGTAGACGTCTGTTTGTACTAAGACTTGCTATTCTTAAAAAGTTAGATTACTTCGGGCTTATACCAGATTGCTGAAAGACCACTAAGATTGTCGGGTATGTTTTTAAAACACATTTGCTTATCACAGTTTTACATTTTGAATTGTGCCTTTTAGTATCTTTGTTGAGGGAGAGTTTGGGGGCTGTATTAGGCTGTTTATAATCCTCAATTCCTTGTTTGAACTTTGCTTGATTCCCATTTTCTGTAAAGGAATCAGAGGTAAATAGACACCACATAGAAGACGGGTTGTTTTGGGATTTTTTTTGTGTGCATGTGTTTTGTTTTTATTTTTTATTTATTAAAAAAAATTTTAATGTTTATTTTTGAGAGCAAAAGAAACAGCATGAGCAGGGGAGGGACTGGGAGAGAGAGGGAGATGCAGAATCCAAGGAGGCTTCAAGCTCTGAGCTGTTAGCACAGAGCTCGATGTGGGGCTTGAACTCACGAACTGTGAGATCATGACCTGAGCCAAAGTTGGAAGCTTAACTGACTTAGCGACCAAGTTCCCCCGCATGTATTTTTTTTAAAATTCTGTGTCTGTTTTTTAAAAAGTATGTAAATCAAATATTGTGTTGGATTATAGAATAGCTGTCTTCTCAATATTAAATTATTCCCTCCACAAACATTGAGGGCCTGTCATATTCTAGCCTCTGGCTAAGGTATACAATAGACTGTTCCTGTTTTATTCAAAAAATTAACAGGCTGTATTGAAAATAATTATTAGTATTTCTTTTCTCTTTAGTCAACAGGTTCTTGGGAGAAAAACAGGGACAGCATCTGTTCACAAAGTTACAATTAAAATTGATGAAAATGATGTCTCTAAGCCTTTACAGATTTTTCATGATCCTCCTTTACCAGCTTCTGATTCCAAATTAGTAGAAAGAGCCATGAAGGTAAGAGATCTCAATGTATTTTAATATTGGTTTGATCAAATGAATATATATAACTTTCTTATACTTTATGCTTAAACTTTTAACACACATTCTTTAAAATACCTGGTGGGGCACCTGGGTGGCTCAGTTAAGTGTCCTACTCTCGATCTCCGCTTGAGTCTTGATTTTGGGGTCATGAGGACAGGCCCCATGTTTGACTCTGCACTGGACAAATCCGAGAGCCTACTTAAAAAATAATAAAGGAGGCACCTGGGTGGCTCAGTCGGTTGAGTGCCGACTTTGGCTCAGGTCAAGATCTCACGGTTCGTGGGTTTGAGCCCTGTGTCAGGCTCTGTGCTGACGGTTCGGAGCCTGGAGCCTGCTTCACATTCTGTGTTTTCTTTCCCCTCTCTCTGTTCCTCCCATGCTCATACTCTCTCTCTCTCTCAACTCTCTCTCTCAAAAAGAAATAAAAGTTAGTAATAAAAAGATAAAATACCTGATTGTTCCTAAAACCTTTTATTAAACTTGTTTTAAGTGAATGTTATGCTTTTGCATTTTTTTAAAATTTATTTTCAGAGTACATGTGTGCAAGTGGGGGAGGGGCAGAGAGAGAGGGGGAGAGAGAATCCCAAGTGGCCTCCGCCCTATCAGCGCAGTCTAAGGAACCATGAGATCATGACCTGAGCCAAAATCAAGAGTTGGACACTTAACCGACTTAGCCACCCAGGCGCCCCACATTTGTGTGTTTTTGTTTTTAATGTTAGGTATAATTCTGAAGATGTTCTTTCACATTTTTAAATATAGTTCATATCATTTTATTTATTTATTTATTTACAAATAGTTTATTGTCAAGTTGGTTTCCATATATCACCATTTTATTTTTAAGGCTTGACATTTAATCACTGATAACCAGTACATGTCCTATCTTGAGTTGTAATTGCCAAAATGTTAGCTATAGTCTTTAAGCTACCAATACCATCTAAGTTTATCTTTTTACCTTTAAGTTTGCTTTTTTTTACTGGTTAACACTCAAATCAGTGTGATTCTAAAAGGAACTGTCTTGAGGCACAATAATCTACTCTCAGGCTTTGAAAGTGAAAACGTTTAAATTGCACATACGATTCTCTTGTTCTTATTTATGCAGATTGATCACTTATCGATAGAAAAGCTCCTAATTGACAGCGTCCATGCACGAGCTCATCAGAAGCTCCAGGAGCTGAAGGCCATTCTGAGAGGCTTCAATGCCAACGAAAACTGTAGGTTCTTTTAAACTGGCGTTTCTGCCTTTCTTTTGTTTATGTTAGTGTCCACTTTTATTTTATGAAACGTCTTTCTTAATATGACTTTTTTCCTGGTTTTGTTGTGGGGTTGGGCATTTCTGCATTTTAACTTGTGATCTACCAAGCGTATCCATATTTTCTTTAATTTTCTTAATTATTTAGCTTGGCATTATTTTTTAAATGTATGCATATTGAACCTCCTTAAAACTTTTTTTCCTATTGAAATGGAAGTTATTTTAACATTTTAATATGAATCTTAATTTCTTTTAGGTCATCTTCTAAGAATAAGGTAGCTTTGCAGATACTTATAATGTTATTTATAAAATATGCCTCTTTGAGTGAAGCAGAATTTATCCCTTGTCGTTTTAAAGATTTTTATTTAATTGTTAGTGCATTAGCAGGACTCAAATAAGAACCATAGATATACACACATAGCGAAAAATCTTCTAAGTTCACTTTGTAAGTGCGTTTAGAGTTTTGGGGGACAGTCATTTAGAAAGTAAGTGCTTTCATTCTAGAAATAGTTTCACAGTATCATAATGAGCATACACTGTCTCTACCCCAGTTTTTGGTTGTGATGACCTTGTGCCCACAGTGAACAGCCTTTAATTAAGTGAGATCATGTAAGTGAAGTGGCATAAAAATATGTCTTTAATAACTTTGGTAGTTAAAGTACTGTCTTGCACTACCACAGAGCCTGGCTCAATCCATTATACTTAAAAAAGTAGCTTCTTCAGTACCACTTTGACGAATTAGCTAAAAATACTGCCTAAAGAGAAGACAGACAGGAAAATAAGTTTGTATTCAGAATGCATAGTCATTCAAAGAAAGTGAAAGAACAGAGGTGTAAAAGAGGGTCTGAGATGGACTAAGGACTAAGGTGAAGGGCAGCTTAACTTTACAAAAGTATAGATGCAGGTCTTAAATACAAAGTATGCTAGACCTCTGATGAATGAATGCAGTGGTTAAATCTGTTTCGATGGTGCATGTTCACTAGCCCCAGCAGGACTTAACATTAGATTTATCAAGTCTTGATGATTTGAATTTAATAATAAGTTACATGGAAGTCCTCATCCCCCTACCCCCTCTTTAATCCCTCAAGCAAAGATGTTAAATACAGGCCTAAAATTTCTGATTAGAAAGTATAATCAAAACTTTACAAAAAAAAAAAAAAAAACACTTTCATTGGGGTTAGAAAGTACACATAACCAACCACCCTCCCAGTTTGTTCTTTTTTAATAATAGTTTTGAGGTATAATTCGCAAACAATTTACTCAGTGTTTTTTTTTTTTTTTAAATATACTCAAAAGTTGTACAGCTATCTCTACCATCTAATTTTAGAACATTTTAATCATCCCCCAAAGAAACTCCATCCATTAGCAATCACTCCCCTATTCATCCCTCCCCTCAGATCCTGGCAACCACTAATCTACTTTCTGTCTCTATAGAATTGCCTGTTCTGGACATTTCAGATAAATGCAATCGTAGAATGTGTGGTGTTCTGCATATTGTTGTTAGCATAATGTTTTTGAGGTTTGTGCATGTTAAAGCATGCTTTGGTATTTTTTATTGTCAAATAGTCCATTGTATGGATATACCACATTTTATTTATCCGTTCATCGTTGATGGGGTTGCTTCCACTTTTATTCCCCCCATGATGAATAACACTGCTATGGACATTCTTGTACAGGTTTTTTGTGTGGACCTGTTTTCATTTCTCTTGGCCATGTACCTAGTAGTGGAAGGGCTGGGTCATATGGTAACTCTGTGTTTTATCTTTTTACATGTTTAACACCACCTGATAATCCATCATCAGTAGTGTTTGAGGGTTCCAGTTTCTTTGAATATTTACTAAGACCTGTTACTGCCCTGTCTTTTTGTTTCTAGCCATCCTGGTGGGTGTGAACTGGTATCTCTTGGTGGTTTTGATTTGAGTCTCCCTAAAGGTTCTTAAACATCTTCTGTCTTCTGTTTTGTAGTTTTAGCTCTTACATTTAGATTCCTTTTTGAGTTAATGTTTGTATGTGGTGTGAGGTAGCGCTCCAACTGCGTTCTTATGTATGGGGATATGCAGTTCCAGTAACGTTCGTTGACAAAAATAAAGTTTTCCTGTTTAGATGTCTTGGTGTCCTGTTGAAATATCCTTTTTGTTCATAACACTGTTAAGTACCAATTGTTTTTTACTTCTAATTTTTCAAAATAGTAAAATGCTAAAATTCATTTGTTGGGATTGCAGAAAATCAGGGTTTGTGATCTTTTAATAGGCTGTGGTTTAATTTCGTGTCATCTGTAAACAAGGCTTATTAGTAAGTAAAAACTCAGTATGGTTGCCCAGGGGATATTTAAATTACTTTGAAAAATAGAGTGACCAGGTGTTTATGGAAGAATGGTTTTGTGTCTTCTTAATGTAAGTTGCAAAGATCTTTCTTTAGCGCCATTTTGCAGAGATCTCGCGGTTGGGCAGCCAGGAGGTCTGAGTGGAGCTGCATGCTCTTGAACAAGTAACACTCTTTGGGCTCCATTCTCATCTATAACTCAAGAATGTTAGTCCAGGTTCTTCCTAGATCTCTGACTCTAGTGGGAGTGTGCTCCAGCATTGGTTTTCAAGTTCTAGGTGTCGGTAGAGTTCCGGGTGTGAGAGAAGGGTGCTTTGGAGACTATGTTTTAGAGGAGAGGTAGGTGCTTGTGTGTGGGGTTGGGCCCCTCAGACCTGTTTTAATCAGAAGTTCTGGATATGAGGGCCATTATAGGAAGGGGGCTGCTGACCCACCATTTTATTACATATGCTTTAGCTTGTTTTTAAAATTCACCTTCACGCATTTGTATTCTTCACGTAGTCTTACTTGATCCCTTTTGTGAAGGGAAAGCATGCTTTAGTCGAATCCTTTATGGGACCTAGGGCAGTTCTTGGAATCCCTTGGTGCAATCACCCTTAATTGTCACCTGGCTTTTCTTCTAGTTCCTCACTGGAGTAAGCCAAAGGGGTGAGTAGGTTTGACAAGGGAGCATTTCAAGGGAGGGCTAGGGGAATATACAGACAGTAGGTTTGGACGGTCTAGATGGTAGCATGTGGTTTCACGGGGGTGGGAATGTCACAAGGGAGAGTAGTAGTAGAGAGAAGGTCAAAAAAGGCAGTGCAAGGCACTTAAGGTCACTTGCCCCAGGTGGCCTCACTTGCAGCATTCCTGTCTCCTGGAAGCCAAGAGAGTCTCCCTTGTGTGGTGCTCTGTCAGAGCCAGAATCAAGGTATCCAGGGCAGTTCGGAAGCTGAGAAACACACGCAGCTATTCCTACCTGGACTTTAGTTGCTTCTCCTTAGTCTTCACCCTTTACGTTATTATTGTGTATTGGTCCATTCCTCATCTTCTCCTCAATAAATAGGGAGAGGGGTGCCTGGGTGGCTCAGTCGGTTAAGCGTCCGACTTCGGCTCAGGTCATGATCTCACAGCTTGTGGGTTCAAGCCCCCCATCGGGCTCTGTGCTGACAGCCAGCTCAGAGCCTGGAGTCTGCTTTGGATTCTGTGTCTCCCTCTCTCTCTGACCCTCCCCTGCTCAGGCTGTCTCTCTCTCTCTCTCTCTCTCTCAGAAATAAATTAAAAGAACATTAAAAAAATAATAAATAAATAGGGAGAAATCAGAGAAGAGATTTATATATATTTCTGTTGCAGGAAAAAGCAGTGTACCAACCTGTCATCTTGCACAGCCTTTAATTCTCTCTTCTATATTTTATTTGTAAGTTTTACCATCTTGGATACCTTCAAGCCAGTTGCCTTTAAATGCTTAGGGCCTGATTTATTTTCTGCAAAGAAAAACGTGGACATTGGCAGTCATTAGAGATACACATCAAAGTATTTTCTCTTTTTTGGACTGAGCTTTCTATATTCTTCTCTAATGCCCTGTCTTTTCAATAATACTCAATTTTGATAATTAGGTTGAAATGATAATTGTTATCCCAATTGTCAGAATTCGTTTTACACCATTACTACACTAAGAATACGTTCCTACTCCATTAGGAATTATTAACAGTCCAGATAGTTGTTAAAAACCAGCAACCCTGCTTCAGGTCTGTAAGCACTGTTTATTGTATTAACCTGGTGAATTCAGCAAAACATCGTTTGAACTAATTTGTCCCACTGCTCTGAGTTATAAGATACCGTAAAAGGAATTTGTACCTTTTCGTGTGTGTATGTTTTAGGTGAGAGCTCTGCTGACTCTGTATGTTCACAACACTTCTTCACAGATCAGTTTGTTTTTACCTGATTAAATGTCTCCTGCAGTTTTGTTTGCTTTATTAACTTGTTTGATAATTTCTTTGTATAGATAGCACCAATGATAACTTCGCCCATTTTCATTATTGTGCAGGTTCCTAATAAAGAGGGTTTGGTTTGTTTCTTTGATTCATAAAAGGGGTATAGATAATGTACATTGTTGAACACTTGGCTTTTTAAAGCACCTTTACAAACTTGTCATTTCTTCCTCCTAAGGACCCAAGGCATGGACAGGAAGATGTTATTGTTCTTGTTTAACAAAGTAGCACAGAGAAGTCGCACGTGGTGAAAGGCTGGGCCTACATAACTACTCTCCTCACTGCCTGCCTTTTCTTCTGTGCTGTAGCATTAGAGGACCTTGGTAACTAGAAGAGCATATTTCTCCGTCTGATCAGCACGGGGTGTGCTTTCAGTGAATGCTTTGCTCCTTTACTGGATTTTGTTGTGCCAGCTTGTGGGATTAAGGGAAGAGTTAATTGGGCCTGGTGAAACTCGAGAACCAGTATATTGGCAGCTTTGGGAATTTGTGTTTAACAATTGCTTATGTTCTTATTTCATCTGTGACTTGAGAATGAGGTACATAAGTAACTTGAAAAAAATTTTCTTCCTGATAAACAATAATGTTTAATGGTTTTCAAGTGGTTTTCTTAAACACATGGGCCCTAATTGCCAGAAAACCTCTCTTTGTGAAGAATGGCATTGAAAATATATAGGCCATCAATGAAATTTATTCTGTTTACCAAACCATTTTCTTCTCACTATACAAAAAGAAAATCCTTAAAAACTAACTTATTAGTAATTACTGAGTGGAAAGTAAAACTAGAACTCAGCTCAGTGATGAAGTTAATATTTTCATTAGCTATTTCAACCCTTTTTAAGGAAACTTGGATTTTTTTTATTTATTTTTTTATTTATTTATTTTTTTTTGCTGTAGTGGTTGAGAGGAGTATGTTCGTTTCAAGTCACCTTGAGGAATACATTTTTTCTTTTGAGCTACTGACATAATAGTACTATTCCAGTTTTGCAAAATCATGTTTTTCCTCTAACATTCAGGATTGTTTGATAGTTTGTTTCTACTCACTGAGAAATGATTTTTTCTAAAAATACTCAGATAGAAATACACTTTTTCATTCTTAACTGTTCAGCTTCCATAGAGACTGCACTTCCAGCTCTTGTCGTTCCCATCTTGGAGCCCTGCGGTAACTCGGAGTGTCTACACATTTTTGTAGACTTGCATTCTGGAATGTTTCAATTGATGCTTTATGGACTTGGTAAGTTACCCTATGACACAGTCACTCAGTATAAGGAAAAATACTTTAACGAAAGCAAAATAAAATTTTTCTACCATTAGGTATTGGGAAGGGGTGGTATCAGCAGTACGGAAAGTAGATGTGGAAGGAATAACTCTGGCCGATGTCCATTCTTTGGGGCCAGTTTTAACCCTGCCTTGGATTTTCTCGTACCAGAAGTTAAACTTCCCAATATGAAGTACATTTATGTTGTTTCTCTTATATAAAAGTAATAATGGTGATGGCTGATGGTTTTTAGATGAACTGTTTTACCGCTAATAGTTGGGTGACATGGAAATGACTGCAAGGGATTCTAATGGCATTCATGGCTAAAGAACATATACAGATGACAGTATAAACATCTAAAAGATGACTTAGGGTACAGACTCCTGGAGGAAAGGATTTTTTTTTTCCTGACTTAAACACAGTAGAAATTAAAGTTTGATTTAATATGTTCTGTTACCAAGTTGGTATTCTGAATCAATGAACTACTTGGAACATAGTGTTTTTGTGTTGCTAACAGAACAGTGTTCTTGAATATATTAGCACATTTTCCATTTGAAATTAATATTAAGCTAGATTGGTGAAAATAAATGATTTTCTGCTTGTTTTGTAGAGCTGTAAAGATAAATTTTTCAGGGCGCCTGGCTGGCTCAGTCAGAAGAGCATTTGACTCTTGATCCTGGGATCATGAGTTTGAGCCTCACATGTTGGGTGTAGAGATTACTAAAAAAATAAATAAACTTAGGGGTGTCTGGGTGGCTCAGTTAGTTAAGTATCTGACTTCAACTCAGGTCATGATCTCATGGTCCATGAGTTCAGGTCCTGCATCAGGTTCTGTGCTGACAGCTCAGAGCCTAGAGCCTGCCTCAGAGTCTGTATGTGTGTCTCTCTCCCTCTCTCCCTCTCCCTCTCTCCCTCTCTCCCTCTCTCCCTCTCCCTCTCCCCCTCTCTCAAAAATAAATAAATAAATAAATAAATAATAAAAAAACTTAAAAAAAAAAAAGATAGCTTTTTCTATGAATTGTTCATGGAAAACCGGCTTCATTACTTTGAATCACATCACATTTATGATGGCTTATAAGTGGCACACTATGAATTACCTTTTAACTGTGGTTCCAGACCATAAGCTAGCTGTTGTTCATTCTTCAGAATTTAACTGTTTTCTTGACTATTTACACCGTACATACTCCTAAATAAGCTGACCATGGTAAAACAGAAGCCAAAAAAAGTTACCTGTTGGCAGTCATTCTTGTTTTAGTGGATATATGCTTGTTTTAGCTCAGGCTACTGTAACAAAGGACCACAGAATGGGTTGTTTAAACAATAGAAATTTTATCATAGCTTTAGAGTTTGGAAGTGTAACATCAGGTGGCCGCCCAGGTCAGGTTATGGTGAGGGCTCTGTTCCTGGCTTGTAGACCCAGGCCTTCTCTCTGTCATCACATGGCAGAAAAGGAGAGAGAGTAAGTGCTCTGGTGACTCTGAAAGGCACTAATCCCATCAAGATGGTGCCACCCTCATGACCCATTTAAACCTAATTCCCTTCCAGAGGCCCCACCTCTAAATACCATCATCACATTAGGAATAGGGCTTCAACATACGAATTTGCGAGGGAGGAGGGGAATTTAACCCATAGCAATGCTGTTCTAATTTTCTTATCCTTTTTTTTCTTTAGCTGAAATCATTTTATATTTTGCTTCTGTTCAAAACATGCTATTGCTAGCATTTTTTGGTGTCATTAAAAATTCTGGGTGACATTTAGGAAGCTGAACTTCACCCAGTAGCTCTTGCTTATGCCAGAAATCATTTGTGTTTAATAAATACTTTAATGGAGTTTGATAGTTTTTACATTTTTAAGGTTCTAAGTTTGGTAATACTATGAGTTTGAAATACATGCAAGTAAAAAATATTAATTAACTAGGCTTAGAGTTTTGGGAATTGAAATGCAGGCAAAGAATGAATTCATGTATTTGCTACTTGTTCTTCCTGCTAGTGGACATTTGCTATTATTGATTAGTTGTCTTAACTGTAACTCTCCCTAAATATTAAAGAGGGAAAACAAATTAGGTCAGTTTATGTCTAATGATGCATTTCGTTTTTCTCTGACTCAAAAATAACATTACTTTTGCCTAAAACAATAATTTTCACTTAAGTTTTGGACTACCTAAATATTGTGCCTCATGTAAGCAACGAATTAACCATGTGCTATATTCTATAGACCAGGTCACGCTGGATGACATGGAGAAGTCTGTGAACGATGATATGAAACGAATTATTCCTTGGATTCAACAACTTAAGTAAGCTTATTTATTTAGCTCAAGACTAAAAATGGAAAGTTATTTTGACATGATGTATTTTCTTCTCCCATCATTACTCTTGATCAGTTACTGTCCTTAATGTTTATGACATGAAACTTGAGCATCTTTTGGTACTTGGAGTCAAAATTCTCTTGGAATAGGGCCAAGATAGCAATGTTTTGTATCTAGTTCCCCTCTAGGGCAAATACAGGTAGGAAGGGCATGAGCCTTAACTTTCACTCCTTTGAATTGAATCTTATATTCTCTGTAGTAGAGTCTTATTTGTGCTTTTTTTTTTTTGACTTTTTTTTTTTTAATGTTTTATTTATATCTGAGACAGAGAGAGAGACAGTGTGAGCAGGGGAGGGTCAGAGAGAGAGGGAGACACAGAATCTGAAGCAGGCTCTAGGCTCTGAGCTGTCAGCACAGAGCCCGATGCGGGGCTCGAACCCACGAACTGTGAGATCATGACCTGAGTCGAAGTCGGACACATAACCTACTGACTGAGCCACCCAGGTGCCCGAGTCTTATTTGTTCTTACCCAGGATAAACTTCATAGTATGCATCTACCAGCTGACAATTCAGAATTGTTGTTTCTCCTTCTCTGATACTGTCATTCAGTACTGTCTCAAAGTCTTTTGAATGCTTCAAACTGTCAAACTAAATAAAATTGAAAATGGAGCTAGAGCCCATTCTATGAGGTTTCATTGCCACCCTGGTACACAGAGAAGCCATTATGGCAACTCTAACAAACTCTATTTTAAAATTAATAAAACGGACGCCTGGGTGGCTCAGTCGATTGAGCGTCCAGCTTCGGCTCAGGTCGTGATCTCATGGTTTGTGAGTTTGAGTCCCACATCAGGCTCTGTGCTGACAACTCAGAGCCTGGAGCCTGCTTCGGATTCTGTGTGTGTGTGTGTGTGTGTGTGTGTGTGTGTGTGTG